GATAATGCAAGCTGATGGAGCCACTCTAGAAGCTGTCCACCTCCGGTACCTGCCGGTGCTCTGTCTCTATTCCAGTTGAACTCTGGCATATTGAAAATCCCTAGTAACAACATCCTTCTGGACGTGGCTAGGAATAATTGCAGCTGAGTAATCGATTCCTGATTCAGCTAGACGCACATAACGGCTAATGGGTTTCTGTCTATTTGAACTACACAACTGATGGATTGTATTTTAGGAGTCGCTAGGGCTGCTACTGTCTCACACTGCGTGTGATCAGACTTTATCATTATCAGAACCCTCCCTTCCTGCCATCCATCCTATCCTGTCTATAAATTGTATGGTGATCCATCTCCAGGGTGCCGTAGTGCTTCCAAATCCATGATTCACTTATGGCCACGATGTCAATACCTGGGGTCCGCCGTCGCACCTCTCCTCACTTATCCCGTATGCTGCAAGCATTGGTGTACCAAAGTGTGACTGCGTCTGCTTGAGCATGCTTGCTGCATTGGGAAATTATTTTCTGAGGATCCTCGAGCGAATTGCCTGAGGCGTTACCTCGTTTTTGAGGGGAACTGACGGATGTATTCGTGGCCTCTTTTACTTCCCCAGCCATTCCATTTCTCCCTGGATATGACTTTTATCATCATTCCAAACGCTTCCTCAACCCCCATAGTTACATCCTCGTTCGCTTTTGGAGTACTTAATCTCCGTTGCAGTCGGAGAGCTGGGGACTTTGCAGCTACTGGGGATTTCGCTATGGTTGTTTCCCATGTAACTGGTTCCTCACAGCCTAGTGTGGCTTCCTTCTTCGCACTGCCAGCTGCAATTAAGCTCCTTAGTTGCGGTGCTCTGTCCCGTGTTCGTGGTGGGTTAGACCTTACCTTGCGGACCGCGGCGTTGCCCATTTTAGACATCTTTTGTAGGCCCTCTCCTACACATTGTTTAGCGGGTACATTCTTTGGTACTTTCGGTGTGGATTTGCTCAAAGGCTCTCCAGTCCTTGGCACGCGACATACTACATCTTTGGTGCGATGGGCGCTTACATTATCCCCTCTTCTAATTAGGTTCATCACCCGGATAGGTCTATCAAGGATGACTATTATACGCCCCTGAGTAAGATCCTTGATCCTTGAAGCTCTTGATAGTGGTAGACCTCTTATATTTATGTTTGGAAACACCACTAAGAGAGGTCTTGGACCACGTGATTCTTTCCCTATCTACAGGCCAATTCTATGACATTTGGTGCTCGAGGGTAACCCTGTTAACCTAAAAACGTTTCGTAGATGGCAATGTTTAGCTTCTCGCCTCGGCTTCGCCATGTTTACAACTGGCCCCGCGCAACTGTGCGGGAGCAAGTTCTTGTTCCTCCCCAAAGAAACTTCGCTGCTATTTTTCAGCAACTTAAGTTTTCTCTCCAACTGCTCAATCCGTTGTCCCATTTCGTGGTAGTTAGGCTGAACCTCTGGTTTAACCACAACCTTCTGAGCCTACAAAAGACCTCATGGTCTGTGATTCAGTGCCCCTGTTTTTGGTTTCCTACTTCTCTTGTTTGTGTACTTTTATTTGGGGCTGACGCAGAAGTGACCCCTTACGGTTTCTCGTTGTTTCCCTTTTTCTGGGGAGCCACCGATGCCTTCAGAATTCTTATGAAATCCTCGGTTAGTTTTGCGCAGTGGTTGCAAACCCACTTAGAGGACGTTTACGTCAGGTGGAATCGATACGCCTTTTTGCTGATTTGAGGGTATCGCTGGTGATACCATACTCCACAGCAGTCGCACTGAATCCCCTGGTGACATACTTTCCCCAACAATTGGTCTCACACGCGTTGGAACCTTTTGTTTGTGTCATTCCAAGTTAAACAATAATGTATAAATAAACAGTTCTCTTACTATGTAAAAGTAGTAACGGGGTGATACAAAACGTAAAAAACGCTTTACGAAACTGAAAAATAAAATGCTTTAGGCCAGCAAAACACCAAAGTGCACGCAGAAAAATTGCCTGGTAGAAGGTTTTTGATCCTTGACAGATCACAAACGATACTGGTAAACAAAAACCTGCTACAAGAGTTATTGGAGTGAAATATCTACTGAAATTTAACTAGTAAAGAACAAAACGTTTAAATGAGATAAAGCACAATGAAAATTCAAACAGCGCGCAAACGTACCGCAAGTTCTGTTCAGTTCAATCTTTAATCTTAATTGTTAAGAGCGGCGGGAGGTCCCGTATTACCCCGTCTCCCTGTACTCCATTGGGCTGATTAGGTATTGATACCAGAACAGTGCTCCTGCATAGTTCTGTCGAGTTTTAGCTGGAAGGTACTACCGTTTGGCTCTTCCACCACGTCCTCCGGAAGCGCATTCCAGAGATATGTCACCCTCCTCGACAGACGATAGATCATCGGCAGACCGTTTGACTGCATCTTGCGGAGCGTCAGTGCGTGTCCCCTGATGCAGTTGTTGTTCCTAAGGGGGAATTCCAAATGCAATTCTGGGCCAAAGTCGCCACGGACGATGCGTTTGGTGTAGATCAAGTCACCTTTCAGTCGTCTGTATGACACGGGGAACGATCCCTTTTCACTCACTCGACCCTCGTAGCTGGTCCCACGTAGTCCTTCGCCGAGGCATGTAGCAGCCGTTTGAACTATATCCAGTTTGGGAACCTCAGTGGAGGGCGTACGTGGGAGGCATACAGCAATTTAAAGACCACCAAGGGCAATGGTCTAAACAAACGGCGGATAGCACCTAACATACTCCACGCAAAGGCACAAGCTTTGTCTATCTGTAAACGAGTTTTCAGATCGACGACAACACCCAAATCTAGTTCCTCAGTTGACTGCCAAAGCACGGTACTTCCAAGAAGGTAGTTAGTGGTGAGACCATATCCTCCTATTCTCATGTGGGCACACTTGGAGATGTTCATCGGTAACTCCCATACCCTTGACCAGTTCATCAGAGCATCCAGGTCATCCTGAATAGACAACTGGTCCGCCTCTGACCCAGTTGTTCGCCAGAGCTTGAGGTCGTCCGCATAGATTACGCACGCGCTGCTCAACGTTGATGGTATGACGTTCGCAAAGATCAGGAACAGCGGTGGACCAAGAACGGAGCCTTGTGGGACACCAATGGTGACTGTGTACCACGCAGATTGTTCCTATGAAACTCCCACTGAGAAGGTTATTCCTTTCAGGAAATCCGACAGTCAATGAAGTGGAACCCTATAACACCCAGATCCATGAGTGTATTTAGCAACCTGTCGTGGGATACTTTGTCGAACCCCTTGCTGAAGTCATTGAAGATAACGTCCGTACCATGTCCCTCGTCATTACCTCTAGACCAACGTTCCCGAGCAAGCAGCAAATTGGTCATGCAGGAACGCCTCTGTCGGAATTCGTGATGTTCCTTACACATCCACTGGTGTCGCTCAAGGTAATCCGTAAATCATCAAACCACTAATCATTCCATCGTCTTGTCGACAACTGATGTGAGGCTCACGGGGTAGTATGCACAAGTATGCACAGGACGAAATATTGCTTCAGTCCAATCGAGCGTCGAGATTGTTGTGTTGTTGGCGGGTGTTTGTAGCGTCCAACACTGCGTATTGTCGATTCCAGTGATCGACCGTTGGTGGGTCCAATTATCTCAATCCTCAGTATAAGTTTCCAGCTGGGGATTTTCCGAAATAAGACAGATGAGACTCAGTGGTCTAGGTCTGAGCCAAGCTACTATAGGATAGTATGAAGGACCCTGATCCTAACCATTGACACCTAACTGAATTGGCATAAAATGTTGGCACCTGGCAGTTTCATAGCAAATACCGAAAACAAAACACTTATCTCCAGCATACACCCACACCTGTAAACATCAAACTTACCACCTGGTGTGAGGCCATTGGTGCCCGTTTTGCTGCCTCTTGGCACCGCAGTTCAGACATGAAATCCGCACCAACAACGACACCCAGGTTTCTGGCTGTGGATACGTTGGGTATTTGTTGGGACTGATCCGGGGGTCCCAGTGTCTTACCACGTTTCCTGCCCCATCTCTGATCAGCTGTTGACATTTCAGAGTATTAGGAGATAGGTCACATTTAACCAAAAGCGCATATAATATGTTGAAGTCCCTCTGGACCGAATCCGTCGCGGAAGGTAAGTGCGCAGCATCCAAACGCGGTTTTGTTCTAAATAATTGAAGGTGATTTGATTAATCCCCATTATCCAAGCTATGAACAGAACCCCAACTGGAGACATCTGTGGCTCAAAACGCTTTTCGCTCAATAAAGACAAAAAATAACGCCAAATTCCATGCTGCAGCCGACAACCAAAAAAATGGAAGGAAATTTATTTAACATTAAAAATAATTATTGATTAATATGTATGAACTAATTTTCGATAAGGCAATGTATCCAAACTCCATCGATAAGAACTTCATCTTCCATATAACTATTAAAAGCTATTTTAAATACTATTCTGAAACTTTCAGCCTAAGATCATCGATGAATACGAAATAAGACCAACGTTTTGTCAGCTTTCGAAAAGTATCTTATAGTGAAATTTTAAAACGAACTAAACTCCATCAATAAGATCTGCACCTTCAATTACGACAGGGTCTATGTCTACTTCGTTAGCACTAATATGGATAATCTTCGTGNTGCATAAAACGAAACTCTTCAAATCTCGTGCCCGTACACTAGTCCGCGAATTCTCTTTCACCCACTAGGTCAGGCCACCTTGAAACGTCCTCCCCGAAGAAGTAATTAATGCCCCCAAAATATCCGCTCTCCAAAGGAATCTAGACCTATACCTTGGTCCCTGAACAGAATTCACAACTCGGAGACAAATAAATCGAATTGGTCTGACTATGAAAGGGCCGTTTCCNTGCTTCCTCTGCACTGTGAGCGGTGCAACTGCTGTAAGTTCGTCGCTCAGTTGGGACTGACTTTCCTGAATGATACAGTGTAACTCAGTTTAGTTCAGTTCAGTTTGCAAGGGACTCAGGGATTCACGGGAACGGAACTGGTCGAGACTAATCGTGAGTCCAGATAGTTGTGCTGTCAGCTGAGTGCCTTGGCTCCCAATACCGCTCGTCAAAAGTTCGTCCTGCTGTTTTTTAAAAGGCAGATGTTTTAGTTGTAGTATTACATTAACCACATATGTATAAATGAAATATATCGATGTAGGAGCGTACTCACCTTATTCCTTTATCGCCTTTCAAGCGGCCAGCTCCGGAAATACCACTTCTCATCACAGATTCAAGCACTTTCAAAGACCACTATTGTTGAGCAGCTTGACATTTTCCAGTAATCTATTCCACAAAGGCTCCACACGGTTTGTGAAGAACTTAACTCTCAATTCCAACCTGGAGTGCTCTCCTTGCAGCTTAAGACTATAACCCCTAGTGCCACAATCCGGAGCAGGAATAAGGAGGCTGCTAAGTTCTATACCGATTAACCACTTGGCTATCTTGAAGGCTTCTATTAAGTCGACCCTGGTTCTTCGGTGTGACAGCGAGAAAAGATTCAAGTCCTGCAGAGGCTGCGAATAGCTCTTTCTTACCTGTCCAGTGACCATTTTAGTTGCCATTTGTCTTGCCCTCTAGACATTCCATGTCTTTTTGATAGTATGGGGTCCAAGCCTACACGCAGTATTCCAGTAGTGGACGCACCATCGCCTTTTATAGTGGAACGAACACTTCTGGCTTTCTGCAAGTGACTGTGGTCCGCAGTCTGAAAATTAAATCCTTTGTCTTATTTGCAGCCACCTGACATTGCCTCGTGGACCGGAAGTCCTTTGTGACAATTATTCCTAGGTCTTTGACTTAGATGTCCTCCCCATGACGGTGCTTAAAGCCGCTATTACCACAGTGGGGTTCTGATCTGAACGCCTTTTGCTGCGATTTGTAATCCACCTATCTGGAATAAGACTTTAAATATCCCAAATGATTACATCGAATACCCTGGCTATATACAAACAGTGCAACACTCATTGCTCAGGGAAATAACAGTCACGCTTCTTTTTCCCCGCAGTAACTACTTTATGACCCTTGCTCTTACTTTTCGTTACCATGAAGAACCCTCTCTCGTGAACAATTCGTTCAATTTTACATGACTTCCAGTTACTTAATGATATATTCCGCGCAAATGGTGTTACTCGTATGAGTAACGGTTTAAACGACTGCATGTCGCTAAGAGTCGGATACACTCACATGGAATCTTTAGCAAGGCGAATTCCATGCGTCACTTCCAGTGACCTTACTCGTTGTAAAACTTTCTTAAATACGTCCACTAATGAAGCTCGAGGAGACGAGCCTGTCTTGAGGTGCCTATTTCCTGTTTCCACACGGTTGGTAGTTAGGTTTCCTAAAGTCAACCTAGTCCTCACGCCCTACCCTGCTCACTGCTCTCTGTATGGTAACCACGTTCGGCGTAAATAATCACCTGATTCTGTGCTGCGATTCTCTACGGCGGCTAGGAATCTACGAAACGATATCTCACTATCACAGTACACCATGTTGCGCATCCATTGAAAGATGCGCTGCTTTTCGAACGTTGGCATTGTAGAAAGCTGGTTACATTACTTCTTCATACACTTAACCAGATGTGAACAACAATATACCACATTAGATGACGGAAAGTATTCTGAAGACGTGTTGTATTGAGCCAAGCTACGATCAACTGCTATAGTCCTGCATTGTGCAAAGACTGGGCACATAGATTTCATGGCTCTCACTGCAGATCTATAGCTCTCACTGCTATCATTCGGCAAGATAGCGTAGAAGAAGCTTCTACCTAAACCGGTGTCATCTGCAAGCATAGCATGCCAAAGCACGTACCCGCCACACTTTAGCTGATGTGTGGCGTCCGCTAACAAAACATCATTAAACCTGGCGACGCAGTGCAGCATAATCTTAGGAACAAAATAAATGTGACGAACGACGTCTTCGTTTAGTCCTATCCTAACCTCTCCCTGATTCTCCAGGATATCCCTAATTTTCAACGCATTGCCACGTGAATCCGAATGAGATCTTCTTCGACGTATGGATCTAACATCCGCCGTAGTTAAGGGTCTCTTGAACCTCTGTGGGCGAATTCCCTTAGCTCGCGAGTACTTCTAAAATTGTCCATCAAAGTATGCGCTTCCTCTTCCTGATCTCCAGATAGACGACGATTACTTACATACAAACCCCGCTGACCCACATGGAAGTCATGGTTGTGCACCAGACAACGTTTCATCACTCGGTACTCCCTCCCGACCGCGCGAATTCCAACGAATGCCGGACAATCAATATTTTGCAGCGTAAAACGGGTTAAGTACATTAGAAATGAGAGCCATAATTACCTGGTTCTATGTGCGCCACGCCTTCTGTGATATACGCAGCAATATTTGATGAAACAGTACGGAAAACCCTCAGGCAGGGTCAGTTTTCGACCAAACGTTCTCTCTCTTATCAGTTGTTTAACAGCCTGTCCAGGGATTCATAGCAATCTTTTACCATTCGTTCAAAAACGACCATATTGTCAACATGAGCCATGATTGTTATGGGCGTGGAAGTGATCGTTGCCTTAGGTTGCGGTATTTATACCTTCCGGACAAAATCGATTAAGGCAATTAAAAAAATTATACTTAAACAAATCACTCAGAAGCGGCCAAAAGCAAAATCTGTTTAGCTTCAGCGGAATTTGACATCAATGTTTGTGAAATACATCTAAAATTCGGTCGCCTTTAGAAAACCTAAAAGTTGGAATGCCACGTCACTTCCGGTGGAGTAGCTGTCCTAGTCGGGCAAGAGATATCCCATCATGAAAGTAAAATAGCCCAATGCACCCGAAATGTTGAGGTGTGCTCAATTTCGCTGGAGAAGGGTTAGCATAACAGGAGTCTACAGTAGCCCGGAATGCACACCCGAGGAGGTCCAGACACTAGAAAGCTTATACAGATACTCACGTGGAGTTTGTATATAGGGAGATTTCAATTTCCCAAAAATAAATTGGTTGCGCCGGCGGGCGCCAACAGGAACACCGGAAAGCGCATTCTTAGAATGGATGCACTCGAGGGCCCTACATCAACATTTCCGAGATTGCACTCGGTACAGAGATGGAGATAGGTTATCTCTACTGGACCTAATATTTACGATGAGGGAGGGGGATTTGATAAACAATACCCTCCATCCACTGATGGGTAAAAGCGACCACGTGGTTCTCATTACAGAAATAAGTGTAATGCACCGCAGAAGTAATGTTAGGATGTCCAGGAATCACTGGACGATAGATGCGAAAAATCTGAAGACCCGAGCTGAGGAGCTGGTGTGAGGACCTATCCACGAAAACAACTATGTAGACCAGCATTGCGGTCGGGTCAAGGCAAATATCTTGCTTCTTCCCTAAAACCTAGGGGAAAGAAGAACAAACCAATTTGGTGGAGCCCCGAGATTAGAAGAGCAATACAGAGTAGAAATAGGAGCTGGTACAACATAGGTCAACGGGCAGCCACAGATCCTGGGCGCAGCACACCAGGGAAAAAACAAAGCAATGACGGTTCGGTGGGAGCTCAAACGACAGTACGAGCTGAAGCTGCCAAATTGTGCCNAATTGTGCCAAATACCAGTCAAAGAGGTACTATCGTTATGTCTAATCTAAGGGAGGGCTCAGCGAAAAGTTAGGGCTTCTGATATTGGAGGATCGAGAAGTAGTAACCCATGAGTGGGATATAGCAGTGCAATTTAAGGAATACTTCAAAAGCGTACATAGGATAGATCAACTGTTCACTACACAACCTGACCTCCACATCGCTGGACAGGGTATCCGCGAATTATAGGTGGGGTTGAAGCAGGTGAGTAGGACTCTTGGTGAGCTTAACGCCACGAAATCCGCCGGACCGGATGGTATCCAATTAGCCTTAGTTAAACACAGCTGAGTTTATAGGCGGCCCACTCTGCCACCTGTACAACAGAACTCTAGAGCATGGCAGGTTATCACTGGACTGGAAAACGGCAATTTTGGTCGCCATAAACAAGGGAGGCCCGAGACGAAAGGTGGAAAACTATCATCCAGTTAGTCTCACAAGC